TTATCTCTTAGTTGAGCTGATAATATATCTGAAAATGTACGGTATAACGTAATATTTCCATATACTGCGATATACAATGTGAAAATGTGAATTGCAAAGCCAGACTTTATGTTTGTCTCAGGTGTAATTTTCAGCACCTGTAAATATTTATTTTATTGGACAGCCAGGTGTCTAATTATTTAGCTGGGCTGATAGTCCACTTGAAAATATATATATTATCATGTCACACTTATACATAGTGTTGCACAGCATGAAAATATATGTAGCGAGATTAAAATCTTAATTGATGTGGTATACTGTGTTCATTCATTATTACTATTAATTGCACAGTTTTATGTGTTGTTATTAATGTTATGTTGTATTAATGTTATGTTTAATCCAGAGAAATGTTTATTTATTAATAATTAGTCATGATTAATTATAAAATCGGAATAAAGTTAGCCTTCTATATGCGTATATATATGTCAGGTTTAAAAGAAATATATATGTATATATATAAATGTGATATTAATTTGCTATAATTGACTCAATATTGTTATAATATATTATTAATTCTTTCTCTGGTTTTTCAGATGATGTTCTTACTGAGAAGTGTGTTAAATGTCTGTCTGTCTGGTGTCATTACATTTACAAGTTGCTGCTTTGTTTCAGGTGTCAGATTTGAGGCTCGATACATGTTTACTGGTGGGATTGCTAATAATCAGATGAGTACAAATACGCAAACTTATGTCTAATTAGAAAATTTTAAATGAATGTATACATGTGACTTCTAATTTAATTGCATACATATCTGCGTTTAATATATATTAAGGTGTTTTGTATATGATAGTAAATTTCATTTTCTTTAATCATCATTTAAAGACTAAATTAATATTTTTAATCTTAAGGCTTCTAATTAAATTGTCATGTGCGTTTACTCATTGTTTTGAGTTAATTATGTTAATTTATAATATTATAATCCCATTTTAACATTACTGGAATGTTATATTGTAATTAGCACAGTGGTATATAATGAAATCATAATAATTAAATTAGAATGACAATTATTAATCTTTTAATGAACAATTAATAACTAGTAATAATTAATTATTAATTAATGTTAATTTTAAACAGACTCTGTTAGATTTTAATGTATCGTGAATAATTTTGTGTGCTTAGTTTTAATGTATGACTAAATATTAACAAATCTAATTTTAGAATATAACGAATGTTTCAAATGTATGTAGATATTTAGCTTGTGTCTTCTCTGTTTGTTTCAAGAACTCGAAAATATTGATTGAAGCAGATACCTCTGGTGTGAGTCATATCATGTGATAGCATAACAACGTCAGATCCTTGTCGACGATGACGAATTTTAAACGGAGGCGTTGGACGTGACAATATTATTAAAAAAATATTTAGAGACAATTGTATATTTGCTACTTTATTTAATTTTTACATGTCGACGTTTACAGTTGTCGCACACATTCGTTTTAACTTATTTAAGATTAAATGTATATAAAAGATATGATAAAGCATTGCATATATGTACAAATTAGAAGTGTTGCAATATGTACCATTTTATCAAAAGTCTAACATTTAATATTATAACTTTTAAAAATTAAAGAGATTTTTTTATTATTAGAATCCTATAACATGTAATTGATGATGTATCTGCCTATAATTAAACTTAGAAACTTAAATTTCCCTCAAGTCAACGAAAGCAACACGCCGTGTGCAAATTGTATGTGTGCCTTCCGTTTATCGATAAAAATAAAACTCCGCGGGCTTTGTGTTTGTCTCTCGCTCATCCACGAGGACAGCATATCGCGAATAGCATGATTTTAGATCTTGTCTCAAATATAGAAAACTTCAAATTATATATCAACCAAAGATGCCATCCGTATCATGTAAATTAGACGTGCTATCCATCCATACAATCCTCGAAAAAATACATATTTTTAATAAATCAATGATCAAAAAGATTCTTATATACTTATGTATTAAATTTATACAATACAAATTTGCATGTTTTAAAAAGTATTTTTTGAAAACGTATTTTAGACAAAAGTTAGAGTTTCAAAAGATCTATTATTTACTGAATTAAAATTTATTTACTGATCTATTATTTACTGATCTATTTAATTATCAGTTTGATCTTGGGTGACGTTGCCAAGGTCAGAACAAGGTAACATTGAATTTTTTAAATTGTCCCCCTATTTTTTATTGCATATTCTAAATATCTATCGTGAGATCTTTCCAATACTATAATTTTATCTATTTTAGTTAATCAGCTTTCGAAGTTATCAAGAATTTTACAAAGATTTTAATTTTATACTACAGTAGTATAAAGTTGAATCTCTGTAAAATCAACTGGTTTTCTCGTATGTAGCTTATAACCTGCTGAATAAAAAAAGTAATAAACTCAAATTAGATAATGAATAGTTTTTATATTAGACTGACTCATAATGGATATCTTATTATAAAATTCTCGATAACTTTAAAATGAATAAAACAGATAAAGTCATAGAATTTTTGGAAGGTCTTGAGATAAGCTTTTAGAATATGCGATAAAAAATAAGAAGTATATAATTTTAAAAACTCAAAATGACCTTGGTCTAACCTTGGCGACGCCATTCAAAGTTAAGCTGGTAAGATTAGTAAATAGAACATTTTAAATCTTACAACTTTTGTCTGAAACATTGTTTTCATAAACCTTATATTTTTCGAGATATTTTAGGGTATACATATTTTTCCCAATATATACTTTTTCCTCACCTGTATATATTTTTTAAATAATGTTAACAATCATTATTCAGTTTCATTTACATTGCAAAATACTCAATATTTATAATTATACTTATTGAAAATAATAATGTTTCCAAAGTTGCCGTTATGTTAAATATAACATTTTTAATTTCATTAAAATTATATTCAATGTCTATGTTAATTATTTACATATTATTCTTACAATTAGCAAATTGTATATTTTAGATCTAAAAGTTTATGCCAATTAGTGGTAGTTCTAAAAAATATTTTATATATGTATGTATATATTATATTCCCATTGCACATTTGCACGTTGTATTCTTTTTACTTTTATAACTAAAATATGATAAATTGAATATATTTACTGTTATAGATAAATTTATCTGTAATATCTTTTTCATAATGTTAACAGTTATTTAAAATAAAAAATTACATTGTTAGAGACTTAAAATTATTTCATATATAGTGATCATTTAATATAAAAAGTTAGTTTATTAAGTAGTAAACAATCTGAAATCTATAAATCTTACTTATTTACAATTATGTATCTAACGGTTAATGTGATATGCTTAATTATATAATTTAAAAATAATCAGTACATGTATATATAATCCATAATTTTAACTTCATGTACCAGCAATGTTTAGTCAATCTGCATATTGACATCGATTGCATTACTGTATAAGAAAAATATCATGGGAACTAAACCTTGTATTTTAAAAGATTACAGGAGATATTATTCCTTAAATAAACAAATATATCCAATAAAAGTTATATACAGTCTTTGATCAATTGGCAGTTTTCAGGTCTATATGTATACACAAATGGCAGTTTTCAAGTCGTTTAACTTTCGATATGAAAGAACCGAGATTGTGAATGATTCTTAAATGGCCACTTTACTGAACGTATTTGTTTATTGAAAGAATAACATTTTGTACAATTTTCTGAAATACAAAATTCTCCTACCTCGAATTTTTTTCTAGTAATGCGATTGATTTTTATCTGCAGATTGACCAAATGCTGATGTCGAAAGTCAAAATTGTGGATTATGTTACACAAGTAGTACAAAATTCTACTAACTAAAAAAAATAAAACCAATATATGCGTGGACATCTACAGAACTGTGATAATTCACAGTTTTAACTTTATTTAATTTTGAGCATTTCCGGAATATAGGTGTGGGGACCGACTTTATGGAAACTCTGTATACCAGCATTAATTGGTAAATCTGCAGATGACATCGATTGCGTTACTGTATAAGAAAAATATCGGGGACTAAATCTTGTATTTTAAGAGATTGCAGAAGATATTATTCCTTAAATAAACAAATACGTTCATTAAAGGTTATATACAGTTTTTAATTAATTGGCATTTTTCAGGTCTATATATACAGGGTGTCTTGTATCATTTTGTACATAAAAGTATTAAGGTAAGATAATCGAAAAATGAATATTTTACTAGATATTTTATGGTTTATGTAAAATTAAGAAATGATTTCAAGCCTTATAACTCAAAAAGTACTTAATAAAAAGGTACTTAATTGTAGTGTTTTGGAAAGCTCTCGAGATAAGCTACAAGAATATGCAATGAAAAATAGGGAGTTCCATTTAAGAAATTGAAGGTAATCTTTATGTAACCTTCAAATGACTATCCAAGGTCAAATTTTTGCCACCCATCTTCTGTCCCTCTCGAAGTCAAGCAACTTTTATTTGAAACATTTTGTTGTACATTCAAATATAAAAAAGTTATTGGGGTGGATCACTTAAAATGGCCCACCCTGTATATACATATACAGGATCGGCTATTTTAATCTTTCCATTGAAATCTCTTAGAATTCATAAGTTTTAGACAAAAATGTTTCAGACAAAAGTTGTATGGTTTCGAGGAGGCCATAAGATGATATCATTGGTTTAACCTTGAAGAGTCATTTAAGGGTCACATGAAGGTCACTTCAATTTTTTTACACCCCCTATTTTTTATTACTTATTTTTATAGATGACCTCGAGAGCTTTCCAAAACACTCCATCCTAGCCTATGACGAGCGTCACCCCGTCCTCCTGCTGAAGGGTTCGCACCTCACTCGGCTAATTGTGGACGACTGCCATAAACGAGCGTTGCACGGCGGAACGCAGCTCATTCTCTCATTAATCCGCCAACAGTATTGGATTCCACGGGGTCGAGCACTTGTCAAGGAGGCTATCCTGCGATGACTTCCTTACGTGCGATGGCGGGCGGCGACCCCACAACAGCTGATGAGCGATTTTCCACGGGAGCGCGTGGTACCAGCGAGGCCCTTCACACTGGGGTCGATTATGCCGGGCCGATTCAACTTCGCACAACCAAGGGGCGCAGGCCGCTCCTACAAGGCCTTCGTAGCGGTCTTCGTCTGCCTTGCTTCCAGAGCCGTACACCTCGAAGTAGTCTCCGACTACACGACCGAGGCCTTCCTTGCGGTCCTCAGGCGGTTCGTCTCTCGCCGAGGCATCTGTCGCAACCTTCGAAGCGACTGCGGGACAACCTTCGTGGGAGCTGATTCCCAGCTGACAGCCCTCTTCACCGCGGGCACGCCAGAAAGCCACCGGATCATCGACAGCCTCGCCTCCGAGAGGATCGAGTGGAGGTTCAACCCTCCCTCAGCGCCGCACTTCGGAGGCATTTGGGAAGCCGCAGTCAAGTCGCTCAAACACCATCTCCGACGAGTGATTGGCGACGCCAAGCTGACGTTCGAGGAGATGAGTACCTTCCTCACTCAGGTAGAAGCGTGCCTTAATTCGCGGCCGCTGCAGGCACTCTCGGACGACCCTGAGGACTTGGCTCCGCTGACGCCTGGACACTTCCTGGTGGGAGCCGCCTTGACTGCAGTGCCCGAGCCATCTTTGCTGGATGAACCAACGTTCCGCTTATCCCGCTGGCAGCAAAAAATGAGACCATTTTTGGGAACGCTGGTCGAAGGAGTACTTCCACTCCCTTACTCACCGTCCTAAGTGGTTGCGCGAAGAGACGGGCTTCAAGGTCGGCCGACTTTGCCTTATCCGGAACGAACTCACACCACCCACGAAATGGCCACTCGTGCGTATCGCGAAAATCCACCCCGGAGAGGATGGTCAAGTTCGCGTAGTTACATTGCGCACCGCAGCCTCCGAGTTGGTACGACCCGTCGTGAAACTCGTCGTGCTACCCATCAACGGTCATGGAGATCACGAGCCTCCATCGCAATAGTTCAGAACGTCCGACGAGATACATATCCTCCGCTAGCCATTTCTTTCGCCAAACGCTCTTGGCGAGGCGGGCGGAAATGTTCAAAACGCCCTCGCTAAAGAGAGCGAGGGTACGAGCGATCATTCGGCGCCCCTGGCAGCCGTTAGCGCGATATCGCTTTGTCAGCGCAATTTAAAAACAGCGCTTGCCCTTCTCGAAAGATCCAAGGAAAATAAATAAATTCTTAACCGTTCGTTTTGAACATTTATATTAGTTCACGAAAAATCGGGATCTTTCGAGAAGGGCTCCACTATAAATTGACGCGCTCGCGGAACACGGCGCTTCTTGGCTGAAAAGTACTCGACGCGCACACTTATCTCTCGATCACGAAAAAACGTTCTTCCGTCGCTCGCGGATTGAATCAGTCGTCTCCGTTGCTCGAGAATTCTGAAATCGCTTTCGCATAATTAATTTAAGACTGTGTAATTAGTGTTATAATTGTTTATAATAAACTGACTATTATTATTAAAAGACTTAGATTTATCGTCGGATTAATTTCTCTTCTTTCTTTTTCCTCGCGGATTCTTATCCTCCGGTTTCGCGCTTGCTTCCCGCGTCAATCTCGCAAAAACTCTATCAGACGTACTAACGTGAATTAAACCCTTTTTTTCAAGATACCATGCGATGATGCGAAGTACTGAACTAAGTAGAAATGAATGCTTTTAATCCGAATCACGTACGCCTATGCGACGTACGAACTTGAATTATACACTTTTTTTCATGATAGCATGCGTTGATGCGAAGTACTGAACTAACCAGAAATGAATGCTTTTAATCCGAATAACGCACGCCTATGCGATGTACTAACGTGAATTAAACGCTTTTTTTCAAGATAGCATGCGATGATGCGAACTACTGAACTAAGTAGAAATGAATGCTTTTAATTCGTATAACGCACGCCTATGCGACTTACTAACGTGAATTAAACGCTTTTTCAAGATAGCATGCGATGATGCGAACTACTGAACTAAGTAGAAATGAATGCTTTTAATCCGAATTACGTACGCCTATGCGACGTACGAACTTGAATTAAACACTTTTTTTCAAGATAGCATGCGTTGATGCGAACTACTGAACTAACCTGAAATGAATGCTTTTAATCCGGATAACTCACGCCTATGCGACGTACTAACGTGAATTAAACGCTTTTTTTCAAGATAGCATGCGATGATGCGAAGTGCTGAACTATGTAGAAATGAATGCTTTTAGTTCGGATAAAGCACGCCTATGCGACGTACTAACGTGAATTAAACGCTTTTTTTCAAGATAGCATACGATGATGCGAAGTACTGAACTATGTAGAAATGAATGCTTTTAGTTCGGATAAAGCACGCCTATGCGACGTACTAACGTGAATTAAACGCTTTTTTTCAAGATAGCATCCAATGACGCGAACTACTGAACTAAGTAGAAATGAATGTTTTTAATCAGAATAACGCATGCCTATGCGACGTACTAATGTGAATTAAACGCTTTTTTTCAAGATAGTGTTACGTTTGAATTCGTTGTTACGTCTCGATCGTAACTTCTCACGTATTTATTTGTTACGCAATTGTAACTTCTCTCTATTTCTTTTTCAGGGCAACCTGCCAAGCCGGCTATACCCTAGGACGCCGAGAGACTAAGAATCTTTTACGCTTCTTTCAGGAGTGGGATTGTCGACGGGAAATAAATTAGGTGCGTTAAACCTGACCCAATTTATCCTTTTGATCTGTTTTCTTTTATTATTTCACATCCTTAAAGCTTTACAAATTTTTTATCATTATTATTATTAATTTTTGACAGTTGTAGGTAATGTATATCGTTATACGTATAGGTACATGTGTATGTAGTTAATGTTTTTCTCTATAGCATTTCTAAGGCGATATCTAGATATGGTTATTATTCGCGGTTATTGAAGAAATTATCTCGCTGTAAATATTCGTAGATCTCGATAAAGTCTTCGTCTGTTAGTCCTGCGAGGGGTTGGATGCTGCTTGGTAAGACCAGGTCCTCCGGTTCTGGGTAGAAATTTGGTTCAGGGTGATCCTGTACCTGACCTGGGTTGGATGGACCAGCCTCAGTTTCTGTTCTTCGTTCTATGGGTCTTCGTTCTTCCGGTATGGAAGGAAGATCTTCCGGTGTCCTGACCGGCGAGTAGCCGGGATTGGATGAATCCTGGATGGGGGAGTAGTTGGGCGATGGCGGCCTGGCTCTGGGCTGTTGTTCCTCTTGAAGAACCGGTGGAGGGTTTCGGGGAAGACGATAAGGGTATGCGCGGGAGGGCGCGAAACTACGTACTGGGGAGTACCTTGTTACTCTGCTTGTTAAGTCGTTCTCGTCGGCAAACAACTGACGAGCTATCGGGAGCCTATGTGAGGCACGCCGGCGGCGTATACCCGCGGCACGGAGGGGAATTTCACGTCCAACGGAAGAAGCAGGGGCTATAAACCTATATGGGTTTCTCGGTACCAGTGTTTGCAGCGCCCTCACTGAATGACAGAGCCAGAATTGGAACTAAGTGATGCCGCCATATTGTTAGTCTGGTCAGTCTGCACAAGTCTGTATCAGCTGTCAGCACGTGTCTCAACGTGTCTATTTATTTTTTTCTTGATTGAGTGATACTGAGCAATATTAAATATAAAAACTAATAACTAAAAAATAAGCAGAATGGTTAGAGCGTGTTGTGTGTTTAACTGCACTTCAACAGGTACTACTCCATCACATACTTTCCCGAAAGATCCACTGATGCGTGAAAAGTGGATGAAAAGTTTAATCTTAAAATCATATCAAGAAAACGAAGTTAATAAACTTCGAGTATGTTATAAACATTTCAAAGAAAGTGATTATAGTGGGAGTAATAAACTTCGGAGATTAATTCGAGCTGCTGTTCCCTCTATGATAGCAATAGAACCTAACCTAAGAACAGAAATATGTAATATTGAACATCATGAACAAATTCTACAGCAAAATGAACAAAGCCTACAACAACATGAACAAAGCCTACAACAACATGAAGAAAATCTACACCAACATGAACAAAGCTTACAACAACACCAAGAAGATATTACAGATTTACAAGATAATGCTGTACAAGTGCAGATAAACATGCAAAACTTGTCTCAAATGCAAATAAAAGATCATGCTCAACTACAAGAAGTAACAAAAAGATTAGAATTTTTTGAAACATTACATCAGAAATCACAAGCAAGAAAATCTAATTTGGCAAAAGTAACACGAAAGAAAAATTTGTCTCCAATAGCACGGAAGTTATATGACAATAATATAAAACTACTAGCACAGAAGAGACGTATGAAAAGATATATAAACAGAATGAAACAACAAAACAAAGTTAAGAAAATAACATTGAGCAGAAAAGAATATAAAGACCAAGAAAATAAGACTGTAAAAGTACGAGAAAATTTTGTAAATATGATAATAAGAAATAATGATGTTGCACCACAGGTAATGTAATTTTTCATTTGTATACACTTTGTACATACATTTACATATTAACATTTGTACATACTTTTACATATTTGTATATATTTTTATTTGTTATAATTTTTGCATAGGCAAGATATTATACAATAGAAGATAAGATATTTTGCTTAGGCATTTATCGTAGATCCCGTTCTTGTTACAATTTTATATCCAAATTTCTATTATTTCCATCCTTTAATACTTTAAATACACAATTAAATCGCATTCCAATTGATACTGGATGTAACCACATTATTTTAAAATATCTAACATTAAGTGCTAGTAAGATGGATTTGAAAGATTTATATGTTGTACTTGCTTGGGACGAAATGGCTATTAAACCTGCACTTACATATGATGTTAAAAACGATAAAATCATTGGATTTGAAGATTGGGGAATGAGACGAACAAGAAAATTTGCAGATCATGCAATTTTATTTCATATAAGATGTTTAGCATCTGGACGGAAAATGCCTATTGGTTATGGCTTTTGTAATAGTACAACTTCGTCTATTCAACTTTCAAGATGTGTAAAAACATGGCTTACATTTCTGCAAAGGTGTGGTTTTAGGCCTAAAGCTACTGTTTGCGACCAGGGAGCAGCAAATATTGCGGCAATTAACTCGTTAATATTGGAAACACGTGCACAGCATTTCAGATATAATAGTAAGTATACATGCACACACACACACACACACACACACACACACACACACATTTAACAATTATAATTTGTAATATTATTATTATGTAATACTAATTACTTATTATGTAATACTAAAATTAATTTTTTTTTAGAGTCGCCCAAAGAAAATATATTTTATGCAGGACAAGAATGTATTGTGCCTTTATATGACTATGTGCATCTTCAAAAAGGTGTGCGTAATAATCTTTTAGATAAAGATTTACTTTTAAATAAAGATGCAAAATTGTCAGAACGTGAAAGTCAATGTGCCTCTTGGGATCATATTAAAGAAGCTTATGAAATAGACCGAAAGTGTTTTCAACATCGACGAAAAATGAAAAAATTGACAGATAATCATATTTTTCCTCATTTAATTCCAAAAATGAAAGTTAAATTTGCAGTACAAATCTTGAGTCATACTGTAGCGGATTTTATAGACATATTACTTTCTTTAAATAAAGACGGTAAAATTATTTTTAATATTATTTTTAATATGTAAACGAGACATTAACTTTTTGTTAAAAAAAACAATATTACTAAAATATTTTATTATTACAGGTATCATACAAACAAGCAATG